CTCTTGATAATCTCCCCTTTCTAAAGCACTTGTGCCTAGGTTATCAAGTTCCCGAATGGAGACCTTTAGTTTCTCCATTCTCTGATAAATTTACAAAACAAAAAAAAAAAATAGGAAATGTAACAACCCAAGAAATGAATAAATAGAAGATCAGAATGCTTGTATTCCAACCAATTTCATGCAAAATATCTCAACAATCACATCTTCAGAGATACCAGTTTTTTTTTTTTACTCTTTCTCTCTCTGGAAGAGGAGAGTGAAAAATAGCTGGTGAAATAGTGAAGTCTGGGCAATGTAACCTATGTTTGGTAGACAATGTTATAAAATGTTGTTGGTGTGTTCTTCAACTGTACCTGTCAATTATAATGTTATAAAATGTTGCTGGTGTGTTCTCCAAAATTTGTTTATGCATATTGGTCAAAATGTTTATTCTACTATAAAGTTCGTATTAATAGCAGCATTTGATTTTTTTTGTCTCAATTTCTTATTTTTCTCCAAACATGCATTTGGATCACATCCTGACCTTTTTTCAGATAATTTATATTCTTGAATTATCATTTTCAATTCTTATGTCTGACATGTGTTCTTAACTATGTTAATGTGAAAAGAGAATGAGTCCCAAATCATCAACTGACAGAAGCAAAATTCTTTTCATTTGTGTTACCAGATGGAGGACTCAGAATCACACTCTCATTTCCCATTTATCAAGAGGGGAAATTGCTTTATGCTACTTTTTGTGGAGGAATCGAAAATTGAGCTAGCAAATGTATATTTATCAAAGTAGAGAGAATGAGTTAATTTATCAAAGTAGAGAGAATGAGTTTAAAGTCAAGTAGAGCGAATGAGTTAAACGTTAATTCTATATCAAAGGACTAACATGTATATATTATATAACAAATATTAAGAAAATCACACTAGTTCATTAAGAAAATTAAATAGACGAATGCATCTACTTAATTCTCATTTTGATTAAAGGATTTGAATTGAGACCGAGATTAAAACATATTCGAGCTATTAACGAAATGCATATGAACATGCTATGCTTCTCCTAAATAAATGGGGCGTTACCCATGGAATGTAATACTGGACTTGGTCCAAGAAAGGACATTTTTTATAGCTTATAATAGTAAAATTCCCAAATAGTACATACTTAGAAAAGGTAGAACAAAAAGTATAATTAGTTAAATACCGGGGAAACAATGGAGATGATGGAGGGGGGAGGCTACACTGCAGCATCCAACCACTCCAAACTACTCTTATGCACCATAATGTTGCATATATGAATGGAGAAAGGTAACTCGATTTTATCAAATTCTTGCGTAACAAGATTGTATAAAAAAACACCAGTCCGGTGCTTCTCTTCATAAGATTTCAGGGCCAACAACTCAGAATACTTGACCCACCCAACTGGGATTAAAAACTTATCATGTCGGATACCTAATTGTTCGAATCTTCCCTTGTGAGCCTCCAATGAAAAATCTGCCTTCTTTCTCCATTCCCCCCTTTCCGGTCGACTCATCCCCACAACAACGCAATAACGACAGATACCTTCCAGTCGACAGGTAAATATTGTTTACATTCCCAGTTCCAGCAGCTACAGGGTTAGGGTTAGGGCCAGGGGTCTCTGTAAAAGTTTCAGTCTCCAGATTCACAGTCAAGACTTGGTTGGTAGTGGGATGAGCCCAATGCATGAAACCTTCAGAAATCATCAACTGATGCAACCGCAATGGCGTTGTTGACTCAAATTCAACTTTCCTCCATGATTTATCAACTCCAACGTTTAATATATAACACCACCTCTTGTCGTACATTGCACTCAATGGACAAAAGATAACCGCTTTATACTCCATGGAAGCCGGTACATACCCAATTGCATGAAATCCAGTTTGGACATGGTCGACAAGTGGAGGGAGAAGAACGACTTGGCCCGTTGTGGGATTCATGACATACAGATTATCCCAATTGCCTAACTGATCCTCTGACCACAATCAATTACAAGTACTTGCGACACGGCGCCTGCGTTTGTACTTCAACTTAGTAATCTCGACTCGGACCCCTCCTTGTGGGAGCATTAAATATGACCCCAGACTTGAACATTTGAATAGGAGCCCATAAGTGGCGTGCTGTAAGTAGAAGCGCATGAAATCACGGGTGTGAATGATATTGTACCATTTGCGGCAAACAAGCCTTGCCCCATAAATACCTTGGCCTGAGATGTGAGCAAGAACTTCCATCAACAACTCATCGGATAGAGAGTCTATGGCTGAAGTTGGCCTCTTCCTTGTACACCTCTTCCTTCTAACCTGGTCATCTCGTGGAAGCAGGAATTTGAAGGGTGCAACCTGAGCGCTCCCTTCTTCTTTGCTGGCAGCCT